CTGGAAAGAGTTTGTGGCCGGGATGCCGAAGGAGTGGAAGGAGGACAAGTTCTTTACGGACCACTCCCCGATCGTCATGAGCATGCGCTACGGTCAGAACGAGCGGATCGCGGTGCGCACGGGGTTGGAGGCGGAGAAGGCTCGCTGGGGAACCGAGCGCGACTGGTCTCGCATCCGCTATGCGAACTTTGCCGTTGCGACTCACATCAGGTGCGCGCGGTCCCTTCTTTTGTGCTACTTATAGGGTTTCACTGATATCTGTCTGTACGCAGAGCGCACTACGTCGAGGAATGGGAGGCGATCGACCCGGCCGACATCATCGACCAGCATGGCGAGGTGTATGACAGCCACGATCCGTTGGACGACGACGAGCCCTTGGATCTGGAGAACTACCCACTGATGGGCCCGGACGGGAAGGAGAAGCCTATCTACAACTTGGAGGGCCACCGCATTGCACGGCGAAGGCCACGGGACGAGCTCACCGAGGAGAGCGCATGCGGCATCCTGTGCAACCTTTTGACCATCCAGGAGATGTACAAGGGTGACGCGAGCGTGGAGGCGGCGGCGCGACGCAGGCGTCGACGGCGACGACGCAGGCGGGCAGCTCGCGCAGGCAACCCTCAGCAGCATCAGGAGAACGATGAGTCTTCGGACGCCGATCCAGGCTTGAGAGAGATCGAGGACCAGTTTGATGAGGCGGAGGGAACTTCGACGACGACGACGACGACGACGACGAAAGCGACCTTGAGGAGGAGCTGTACGACATGCGCAACCGGGGCAGCGGGAAGCCCCTCGCGGTGTACTGCTATCCCCAGGCGCTCCTCGGGAAGTATGGCAACGTGCAGGCGACGCGCATGTTCCGCCACTACAACCCTCAATTTCTGGACATGGAGAAGAAGTTGCGCGCGGACGTTCCCCCGCGCCCTGCCGTCTTTCGCACGTCTCGCATATCGGCAGCGCGGGTCATGCGCAACCACCTCGCCAACCAAGGCAACCCCCCTCCTCCTGCTGACGACGACGACGACGACGAGTCCTCGAGCGAGGAGGAAGACGGCAACCGCGACGCCGCCGACGCACGGCGGCTCCGAGGTAACGACAGGGTGCAGCTCAACTACATCCGTCAGAACGGGTACCCTGGGCCCATCATCGAGGGGCGTTCGT